ACAAGCCCTCAGTTTCAATTTCAGCTCTCCTGCAGCTGTTCCAGTTAAGCGCTATTTTCCAGAGCACTATTCAACAAAACTGTAAAACTAGCTGTACACAAATTACAGTTTAATACAGAGAAGAAAAGTCTGGAAAAGGTGTGTGTGTGTGAATCCCTGATCTCTTTTCTGTGATAGTAGCCTTACAGGTTACTCGTAACAATAGTAGGTAGAAAATTTTCAGATGGAAATATGTAGTCATTAGTGGTGTCTCTTTAAAATATAACATTTATTCATACAATAGGGTGTAGAAGTCATTTTCAACTGAATGAAACACAGTGCACATGGTTACAAAGAAGCAGAGAGAATGTCCTACCCTCCGACAAAAAAAAGCCAGGGGTGGGACAGTTAAAACTCAGCAAGGTATTCTACACAAAGGGCCAAATTCCGTCAGCCTCACTTACATGGAGTAGCCCCTTACTCTCTGAGTAGTCCCATTGAAATTTACTACTGGCAGCATCTGGCTCTAGGTTTTCACTGCAACCTTTCAACAGGCAGTAGGTGCCTCTAACCTTGCAGAGGTGTCAGGTAGTATAACCTGGAGATGCCACAGAACTCCATCTCTGCAGATCCTATGTCCTTCTGAAATACTCCCCTGGTCTCTCACCATTTACAGCTCAGAAGCTGGCTGCCTTCAGTTGTCTCCCAAGAATATATATCCACCACACCTTAGACGTTGGTGAAAGGCAATTAAACGGGCAAATACTACACTTGGGAGAAGTGGCGGGAGGCCAAATGGCTGCTTCCCTGCAGCTCCATCTCACTCCAGCAACAAAGATACAATTCCTGGGTTTATGGCAGAGAGGCCTCTGTGGGAGTGGAAGCCTACAGTGGAGCTGCTGCTAACCTCCATGTACAATTTCACTCAAGAGGGGCAGTTTCTCTTCTCCATCTGCAAAGCTGAGGTGAGCATTGATCCTATCCTTTCAGCAATGAACTACATGAAGCAGTGGTTAAAAGCATGCTGTACTAAAAGCCAAGGGGGAGACTGATGGCTGTGCCATCACTATGGCCAGACCTGGGACCGAGAGGCAGTGGTTTGGGCCTCCCTTATTTAGGGCCTGTGGTGGCCAAATCATCCCCTGGTGCAAGATAGGGCAGCCAGAGGACTTCCCTAAACTGTGCTGCTGACTGCTACAGCCCTTCTCAGGCTTACAGCAGTGGAAGATTAATAGATCAGAAGAAACATCCTGGCCATGCTGCCTTGCATCCTTAATCTTCCCTGGCCTGCTTCTGGCCTGCCTTCTCTCTGCCCCAGAATGCCCCTTGCAGCAAAGGATCAGAGGGTAGCTGCCTATGCAGTATGAGTAGAGACCCCTGTACCAGTGCTAGTCACTGAGGGAGGGAGAGAGAAAGGGAAGGGGCAGTCTTACGCTAGTATGCTGATGCCAGGGGCTTATAGGGCAACTGAATCTGGCCCCAAATGGACACTTTTGTCCAATGGTTTACACAGACACCACAGTAAACAGTGGCATTCTCCAAGTGTAAAAGTAAATAGAAGGTTTAGAAGATACTTAGAAATAAGACCCTTCCATTCTGCCAGCACAACCAAACATTCAATCCATTGGGATCCTAATATGCTGCATTCGAGTTTAGTTAGACCCAATTTATTCATTTTTGTCTATGACTTGTACACTTTACATAAACACTTGATAATTTTTCAGCAAACAGTGCATTCACCCCTTGCCAGTACCTACAACGACCCCCCAGTCCCCAAAAATACGTTCAAAAATTACATGTTCTCATTTTGGAGAAGAAAATATTGTGTGCCTGATTAATGAAGATATGCACGAGCAAGCAGAATAAACCAGTAAAATGTAATTAAGCCTTTTAGCGCTCCAGAAAAAAACGGCAACACATAAAAAAGTAATGCAAACCACAGGGGTGCAGTCAGCTATGAGACCCAGTATCTCAGTGGGACTTAAAGGGACACTGTCAAGCCATTACAGCCTCATTTCATGAATAATAATTAAAAAGAAATTGATAGAAGACAAGAAGGCTTTTTTTTTTTTGAAAACTAAGAGACCCCTGTTACATTGTCTCAAGCAGGGGAAGGTCTGAAACAGATATCTGCCCAGTCTCCTTCCCCGTCTCCTCTCAGCTACAAACACCCACTAGAATCGTCTCACACCCCCTCCCATGCCAAGTTCTTGCATTATGTTTCACTGTTGCCCTGATCTCCCTAAGCTAGCTGAAAAATTAAACTGAGTAAAAAAAAAAAGAAAGAAAGTCCCACACTCTCAGGTGCTCTATGTTGCTGCTTCAGATATTCAGGTTTTGGTCACTCTGCTCCAGGCACATATATGAAGCTAGAGACAGAGGGAGAGAGTTAATATATGTTCATTTTAGAACATAAATAGACTCTCCGGCACAAAGGGCAGATCAGCAACAAAAGTTCTTTGCAGAGAACATGCATTGAAAATTGCTGTTGCCCTCCAATAATTGTTAAGGTGGATTTGTCATTCCGGGTAAAGCCACTCTGAATGTCAGCATCTAGGGAGGGAGGGGAGCAAAAAGCAACAACATAACATACTGGGTAGAGATCTGTGTGGCTGTGCTGAAGGTTCAGACTGTTGTTGGCCTGGTTGGGAGTCACTACAAGAGTGTGCAGAGGAGGGGAGGAGAGGAGCCATGCATGAATTCATGCAGGAAACTTATGGGGCTGTTATGTTGCTGTGGTATGGTGCCATGACAAATTAATGGGTAGGGTCTTAGAGAAGACTAGGTGCATAGTAATGATCTCAGGGTATGTATGCATCATAAGGGTTAAAAATACAATGAGGCTTTATAATACAGGGGCTGTAATTATACTATAGTTACGTGGAAATTAGAATATAAATTGTAACCTAGGTAGTTGACCTTTTAGTTACAGGACAGTGTTCAAGGTGCATGTATCAAAGTACAGCTTGAGAGTAATTATATTGGTGAGTATTTAAATATGAAACCAAGAGGGTAGTGGTAAGAAGTAGTTAAATTATATAGTTAAACTTCCAATTATATGAATTAGTGCTAATTATGGTATAATAGAGTATAACCCCAGTGTAAGTATAGTGTAATCACAGTCATCACAGTGCAGTACCTGTAATTACACTCTGGTTTATTATTAAGTGTAATGACAAAAGAAATAAAATTCTGGGAAATTCCTATGCCTCCAAATTCGTCCATCTGTTATTCTGTATTGGCATGATGCTCACTGACATGCGTAATATACGTCCCACCTATCTTTCTGCATCTCTCGTTGCAATATTTTTAATGCTGTTGCACCTAGTATTTTAAAATTAAGATGAGATCGGGGTGAAAGTAAGTCTAGGGACTTACCGATACGGGGCTGGGCTGGGGCCAGCTCTGGCCCCCGGAAGTGGCGGGGCCTCGGGCAGAAGGGGCGGGGCTGGGGAAGGTCAGAGCCAGCCTTGGCCCACCCTGTACCAGCAAGTGCCTCCTTCCCCCTCCCTGGGGTAACAGCGGCAGCCAGGGCCTCTGGCAGCGGTTTAAAGGGCCCTGGGCCCTTTAAATCGTCCCCGGAGCCTGCTGGAGCCCTGGGGAAGTGGGGACGATTTAAAGGGCCCAGGGCTCGGCCGCCGCTACCGCCCCGGGCCCTTTAAATCACCGCCCCAGCCCCGCTGCCGCTACCCCAGGGCTCCAGCAGCGGGGCTCTGGCAGCAATTTAAAGGGCCGGGGGCTCCAGCCGCTGCTGGGAGCCGCAGGCCCTTTAAATTGTGCCTGGGGAAGCCGATCCACCCTGGTTCGGCGCACTGGCTCTTGGCGGTACACCGTACCAGGGCGTACCAGTTTACTTTCACCTCTGGATGAGATTAATACACTTTTTTGTCATTTGGGTTAAATACCAATAAATCTCCATCTGTACCATCAAATCTAACAAGACACAGGTGTCCCCCCGCCAGAAGAGGCAGGCATTTGAACCTTTGGGCACTTCCCATTTCTCTGTCTGAGCTGTATGTATCTGTCCACATTCAAGGAAATTCCATTCCATAACATTCTCCATACTTCCAATCCCTGGTCTCTCCCTTACTCCTCTCTCAAGCATCGAACATTCCTTTGTGGCAGAGAGGGGGAACTCCTGCCTTTTGGTTTGGGCGGGTCTGCAGAGGGACAGAGACCAGCACTGGTGTGAGTAATGTGACTTCCAGAGCATATGAAGATCGAGACCCCATCCTGGGATCAGGCCTACTCACCCCAGCTGTCTTCTCCCAACCACTTCCAATTATTTGTTGACATCTCATTTTAAAACTGCATGAGATTATAAGTGAAACGTTTGCAGTCTCTTGTCTTTGTATGCCTAAGAAAGGGTTGGGGAAATTAGATAAGCCAAGCAGTGTCTTTCCTCAGAGCTTTCCCATGTAGCCAGTGTGGTGTGATGTGTGCTGGGAGACAGGACAAGCAATGAGAACAAGCTGTACCTCCTGCTAGTGTTGGTGCCCTTAAAATCCCAGTTTGCTTTACAGGTGACAGATCCCTCCCCAGCTCCCAGTTAACTTCCAGCCCCAAGTTCCTTTCGGAGGTGAGCACCTGCCACTCCAAAACTTTTTCCATTGCATGTTATTGATTCCCCATCCAAACTCCATGCCTTTATATACCAATTGTCGGTGACAACTGGCACTTGATGTATTTTACAGATACCATGGCAATAAATATTCACTACAGCATGCAGTTATTTTTGATATTTATTCTCACAGTGATTTGAAACATGGTGGGTTATGGCCACATAGGGTTATGTTCCTTTGTCCCAGTGGTATGCCCAAAGGTTAGTCCTGACTGGATGCTGCATGTAATTTGGGGTTCACTGGGAGAAGAAGGTTGAAAACGATTGCATTACAGTATTGCGTGCGTGCATGAAGAATTGGAACTAAGCACTTCACAGTAAAAAATAAACTGTAATTTATTTAAAAACAAATGTGAGTCGAGTAATTTCACTTAGAGAATTTCTCTCTCTCTCTTTGCAGTGGTACATAACCCAAGTTTGACTAGTTTCAGAGACGATCGAAGAGAAATGTGAGTGAATTAATGCCCGTGAGTGTCTGCAGCTCAATCTATGTAAAATTAAAATAGACATCTTAATTACATTGGATTTTTATAAGGCTTGCTATTTTCTTTCCTTAATATGTGTTGTTCCTTAATGTGTTGGCCTTACAAGACTGAATCACAATGTGCATTTCACTTCTAATGTTTCTCACACCTTTTGCTTATGCACCATTTTACTTTATCAAATATAAAAAGACAGTATTATGAAGCAGAAAATTCATAGAAAGATTGTCTTCACAATCCACTCATTTTAACGGAATTATGTATACTATTATCACCATAATACTACTAATGCTTACAGTGCTTTTAAGCTCTAGATCTAAAAAGATCTTTGCAAGAGTGGAGAATCATAATTATTCCCATTTTATGGATGGGGAAATTGAGGCACAGTGAGTCAAAGCCCAAAACTTTCCAACTTGGGTATCAAAAGTTAAGCAACTTCATTCATATTTAGGCGCTTTAAAAATGGCCTGATTTCCAGATATGCTGGGCATCCAAGGCTCCCAAGGAAATGCACCCACAATTTGCATAAGTGTTTGCAGCACTGTCCATGAGAACACTTGCCATATCATGACATTCATTAAGATGCTTGGGAAAGGGAATCTAGTGCAAATTTCTGATTACATTCTCACAGAAAATGATTACTAATTACTTTTGCATCATCATCATTATTATTTATTTATTATTTATTTTATTATTATTGTATATTACATTTTATATTTGTCATATATTATAGCACCCAGAGGCCCCTGTCGGTATCAGGGCCTCTTTGCTAGGTGTTATACAAACACATGGGAAAAAACTCGGTCCCTGCCTTGAGCACAGCATTCTGCATACAAGTTGCACAGGGTTACTGTGGCCAGGCCAAGTAACATAACAGCATTGCTCATGTTTAGGACAGAAATGATAGGAATGCCTGCTGTGAAAAATAATTGAAAAGGAAGCTACATTTAAAAGTAATCAAATTACTTCTTAGGGTTAAATTTTTAGAGCCAATTTCTAGCCCTGCTTACTCTGCAGCACAGAGTCCTGCCAAAACTTCATGGCTTGGCCATGCTCCATGCCTGTGGAGTACTACTGGAATTTCGAGTAGAGCTGGATTCTCATAGAATCATAGAATATCAGGGTTGGAAGGGACCTCAGGAGGTCATCTAGTCCAACCCCCTGCTCAAAGCAGGACCAATCCCCAATTTTTGCCCCAGATCCCAAATGGCCCCCTCAAGGATTAAACTGACAACCCTGGGCTTAGCAGGCCAATGCTCAAACCACTGAGCTATCCCTCCCCCCCTGAGGAGGAGGAGGAGGAGGGGGGGATCACTTTTACATTGATATAACTCCATTGACTTCAGTGGAGTTCCTCCTGATTCTCACCTGTGTTAGTGAGAGGAGAAGCAGACTCAGGATGGCTCCATGGCTGCTCAGTCCTGACTCCTATACAGGGAGTGCAATCTGTAGCTCTGTTCCTAGGGTGCTTTGTTATGTCATTGGGGGAGGAAGTTGCCTTGTTCTGTACTTCCACTGCTCTAAGGAGGGTGTTGGAATGGGAGGCTGACTCACAGCTGCAGGGATCCAAAACGGGGTTCACATCTGGAACTATCAGCTAAGAGAGGCACAGGGTTTATTAGGGCAAAGAGTCCCTTCTCAGGGAGCGGTAGGAGAAGAAAGACCACCTTTCGTCACCCCACCACAAACAGCTCGTAAGTGGTTTGGGTTTGGCTTTTGTTGGTGGTGTTTTAAAGATCTTACTATTGAGCCTCTCTCTGCTGTGCCAGCTCTACTGAGGTTACTGCACCAAGCCTGTAGTAAACTCTACAGACCCTGTACAGAGAAAGAGGAGGAGGCTCTGAGGGAGGAAGCAGAGAGCCCATTTGCATGACCTCCATCCCCACTCCATCTCCCAAGTGGTTTTGCAGTTCCATCCCCTAGACAGACCGTGCACCCCCTGCACTAGCCCTGAATTGATCATGACTGGTTGGAGTTGCGTAGAGCTGGATGACACGAGACAGAGGGATTTTCTGCACCATGTATCCCTGCAGAATGGTAGGCCAGCATTTGGCCCCCCAAAAGTAAGAACGTGATTGTGCTGAGTAGGCCCAACCTGTAGCAAGGGGGCAGTGCTGAGCTGCACTGCCCAGAGGGAAAGCGTCGGGAGATAGCAGAACGTTCCTGGGTGTGCTCAGCTGCACGTCCACTGCTACACCTTTTTGTGGCTGGTGCCTATGGCAGGCAGAAGCACAGCCCTGACTCCTCCCCTCCCTCGCCACCCTGTATTGGGGGCACTGGGCACCCCAAAGGGAGTAGGGAAAAAGAGCTAGCTTCAATTCCCAGAGTGCAGGGACTTACGTGGGCTGCACAAAGAAGCTTCTTACATTGTTGCCCCTACCTCACCATGCACTTGTGCAAAGAATCCCTGTGACAGCTGTTTACTTTAAAAAGTGAGCTGATTTTATGTATCAAGCTTTTGCAATGAGGTATTTTTAAACACAGTGTCAGTGCAGATTCCTTATGGTGTCACTAGGAGCTGTTCTTAAAAAACAAGTTAAAAATGTTGACATTGACGTTAAAAACAAAGCGGAAATGTTCACATAAATTAAGAGTTTGAGTTTCAGCAAAACAAAGAAAAAGACTCATAAGAGGTACAGCTAGGCACCTTATAATCAGATATGAGAAACGTTCCAACCTTAACGCCTGGGGTACCGAGGTGCTGCATTCTGGCATACCTACCTATCGAACTTCCTATGCTGAGACCTTACCGGGATAGATGAGTGCTTTTGTGTCATGTATCCCATGCTGGCAGTATCTAGGCACAGCAGAGTGAGTTAACAATGGAGTGACACTTCCAAGCGGGTCCCTGGCTGCTACTTTAAAATTGTTTCATGTGAATAATATCTTCAGAGTGGCCATTTCTGTTTCAGACAACAGAGCCACACACCCCCACAGCTGACAGGTACATCTCTCCCACTATAGAATACATTAAAAATGTTGATATTCACTGTGCAGAGTTGTTAAAGTTATCATGGTATTTCCCATCGAAGTATAGAGAATGCCACAAATAAAGTGATAAAGGTAAATACCACAAAGTGGTAAATGTCAAGATTTTAATGGCACCCACTGTAGAAGCTGTTTTAAACAGCTATTTTCCAATGAAAAATTTCACTGTTTACTCTTCTGGTTCTTGAAAGTTGATAGGCAGTGTTTACTGAAATTAATTGTACAAAGCCACCAGCTGAGAGGTATCACATAGAGCAGCCCTTATATACCCCCCTCTTCCCCGACAAACAAATCTTTACATTTATCCTGATCGCAAAAGAACAGGCTATCATGGCTGATATATATTCATAGATTCTAAGGCCAGAAGGCACCTGTGATCATCTTGTCTGACCTCCTGCATAAGACAGGCTATAGAGTTCCCCCCAAATAACTCCAGGTATGCAGGAGCTGAGCGAATGGAAATAGGTGTGCTGGCTCCTTTGGGGCCTGATCCAATGGCCATTGAAGTCAAGAGGATGTTATCAATTAAATCCAGAGGAGCTTTGGATCGGGCCCCTATACTGTCCCTCGATTAACGGTACTTTTGACCCTTGTCCCCTTAGAGGTGGAGCTATAACACTCAGTTTAAAGACTGTTCTAGAATGGAGGGAAAACGACGACAAACGGAATAGTTAATTTACTGATAAATAATTTTCCCTTTTTGGATCCTGCCTTATGGCTAAATTGAAGTGCACAGGGGCACAGGAATATAGGATTTTCCACGCTGGATTAGTTCAGTCCAGTGTCTTAACTCTGACTGTGTGGCCAGGTGATTTCGAACGTGGTGCAAGAGACTTTGCAGTGGATAAATATGGAATAACCTGCTCACAGAGCAAGCTTCTTCTTGGCCCTATGTCAGTTAGAGGGTGGCTCATGCCCTGAAGCATGTAGGGTTTTTTTTTCACTATTCTTTACCCTTTGTAATGTAAATGTGGATAGTCTCATAATCCATAGACATATAAAGTATCTTATGCTCAATCCTGACCAGTTCTCTAAGAGGGTAACACAACTACAGGGCTCAGGCCTGCTCTCAGTGAAGTCAATGACAAAACTCTCATTGTCTTTAGCTGTGAAGGATTGGGGCCATAATGTAAGCACTGCAGCGTCTGAAGTTGCCTACCAACACTGTCTCTCGCTGACCGCTAATTAAGCACAACCTTATCAGAGGACACCCATTCGCAAAGGAAGGGAACGTCCCATCATTTAAAGGGACAGTGGTCATTAAATGTAAATGAGAAGATAACAGGAAGGCTGTGTTCTATTAGCATGCATCATATCCCATGGTGATCTTTTTTTAATTATAAAACATTAAACTGATTGCATGCTGCTTTCCTGTGTACTAATCACAAAGGCTACCCTTGGATAGTGAAGTGTAATTACAGGGAACCATATGTATCTGTTCATTCAATGTCAATGATTTCACCGTAGTTAGACATTGGAAATACAGTGCTTTACAAAGGTAATATTTAACATTGATTTAATTGATCCAACTGTCCTCAGTTGTTTTAATTATGGAGCAGTGTTTGATTACTTAGACTTGTTTCTGCTAGTGCAGGCTCTAAAAAGGTAGAAATGTGAAGCATTCTGTACAATCATCCATTCAGTGTTCTGTGCCCTGTAACCATTCCTTCATGGAGTTGAAGTTCTATAGGATAATTCTCAATACTCATTTTCTTGAACTTCTCTGCATCTGAATCTTCAAAACTGGACAAATTGTGGGGAATTAATTCTGAATTAACCATCTCAAACCTGTTTTTTTTAACACTCTGCCAGAAGATTAATGAAAAATTCATGAACTACTAATAATGATTATCAGCATATTTTTAACACTGGATGACTCTGATACCTGCCCTCAGTGCTACTATAAAGATCCTACTGTAGTTGCTGGATGCTTTCTCCCTCCTGCTTACTTCTACACCCATGTGACAGAGTGTACAAAC